TTAAATTATTTTTCCAAAATACAAGTCATTCAGAGATGGAGAATACCAACCCGACAAGATTCTGTGCCACTTACATAAGCACTGCTGGTCAAGCCCTAGGACTGCTGCCCTTCCTGAGCTGATTCTCTGCTGCTTTTACGATTGATGAAAACCACACAGCCATGAATACCAACCAGGCTTTTCCTGTTTGCATGCTACTTTGATGCAAAAGTAATAACAACTACTTCGGCTGTAACCATGTTCAGTGAATATCACTGCTTGTGAAGGTAAAAGAAAGTGCCAATACTCAGCGAGGGGGGAAAGGTATTCCCTTAAATACTAAGGGAAAAACACCACTTTAACTCCACAAGTTACTTGGGAACATAACATACGAACTTCTGTGTATTAAAAGCAGTGCAGTTCTTCAGCCTGGGTAACACTGTGACACCACTTTTGATCAAGGTTTACAAGAAAGTTTCTAGACTCCAGGGCATGGTGTTATGAGGTCAAAGGTTGGACTTGATGACCTTGGAGGTCTTTTTCAACCTTAATGATTCTATATAGTGATATTTTTCTGCAGTTGAAAAGCCTACATCAGACAGCAAGGTCATTTTTGCTAAGAGATGAACATAGAGATATGATGGCAAAACCCCACAGGATGGAGGTCGCCAGCGTCCCTCAGCACTGCCCAGCCATGTACAAAAAAGCAAGGCATGAGGACTCATACTTCAAAAATCATCTACTAACACTTAAAAGAGAGATTTAAATTGAATGTGGCATTAGCAAGACCAGTTTATACAGTTAAAACCTTGTCAGTCACTTATAACTGTTGATTTCTTCCATGCTAGGTATCAGTTTTGCTCTTAAAATTTACATCAAGTTTCCAGAAAATTCTATGAAAATTTTAAGCACCTGAAATGAGAACTTAAAAAACCCCCAAACAACAAAGCTCTACAATACTAATCCTAATTATCCAATTACCTACAATATCCCAAAAATTTAAAACCCATGAGCAACCTCAAATCCTATTCTTATTTTGTAGTACTTGGCCTGCCCTGACTTAGTCCATTATGTACTTTTACTGCCATCACCACGGCCAGAGAGGCGGCTTTGGCTATGCCATTAGTACTCTTGCAGCAGTTCTCTCCTTCCACACCTAAAACCTCCTTCCCTCTCCACAAGTATGCACATCTCACCTCTGCTCTGTGGGGAATTCAGCCTGTTCTCCTGAGCAGCGTGCAACTTCCACGGGGCCTCTTCCCTCCTCTTCTTGCATGACAATTTTGCGGCACATTTTTTCTTCTAAGGCAACTATCCCACAAAGGGAGGAGCTAAAAGGTCCCTGTTATCAGCAAGTGGGTTTGAAAATGAACACCAGTAAAATCCCTTCTCCACTATGGCTGGGAGCAATTGAATCCTTATCGGCAGGAACTGCGGCCCGAAGGAGAGAGGCCCTCGATGGAGCCCGCGCTCCGTGAGGAGAGGAGCCCTGAGGAGAGGAGTCCCCGGAGAAGCCCTCGGCGGAGCCCTGAGGAGACGAGCCGTCGGTGCAGCCCGCGCTCCTGGCAGGAACTGAGGCCCAAGGCCAGGAGCCCTCGGCGAGCAGGGCACAAGCGTGAGGAGCAGGAGGGCAGGCAGGAGGTGGTCTGTGCTGGTTGGGATCCCTCATCCCCCGAGCGCCGCTCCGAGGCGGGGAGGGGGTGCGCGTGTGAAATCGCGCCTGGCAGAAAGGGGTGGCTGGGAAAGGTGGTGGTTTAATTTCTGGCTTTCTCACTATTCACATCTGTTTTAACTGGCAGTCAGTTAAATTCATTTTTCCCAAGACAGATCTATTCTGCCCATGACGGCAATTGGTAAGGGATCTGTCTTTATCTTGACCTATGAGCTTTTTCTCCCCCTGTCCTGTTATGGAGGGGGCAGCGAGTGACTGGGTCAGCATCTGGCTGCAATCCATGGTCAGCTCACAACACTGTGGTAGACAGATAGAATAATTTTCTTTGCTGCCAGTCTAGTTATTAACCTTTACTTGTAGACTATCTCAGTTTTCTTTGATCTTTTTCACCTTCAGCATCTTCTATTAATTTTATTTCTCTTCAGTCATAGCTAAGGCCAAAAATGGCTATACAAACACTTTTTACTAATGCTCTTTTAGAAGTCAGTGTATATAAATTTAGGAAACTTCAGCATTATCTAATACAATCTTGCTTATTAAACAAGTTCAGGGCATACAGTGTAGTTCTATATATCACTGAAATTATCACAAACACTGCAGCAAAGTTTGTCACAGCTTTTTTGATGCAGCTTTCCTGACCGCACTTAGTGTTGCCAGTCTCAGTGAGCACAGCGGAGCTGCACATCAAGCAGGACTGCACTCCACCAGAGCTGAGAATAAAACTGCTCCAAGGCCTTCTCTTGGTGGCACAAACAAGGAAGAATGAGGAGACAACTCCTGTACCCTAAACTTTTCCTCAACTTGCCCATCAGGAAGCACTGAGGGGGAAAGCAGCATTTCACATCTGGCTTCAGCATTTTCCCTTCTTTCATTCAGTCACACCCTTTAATAGTATGTTTTACAAAGTTAAAAAAACCCTGCTTCTAAAGGCATATAGATATTTTGAGAATTTGAAAATTCTTCATGTATTTAACATTACCGTAGTGAACACCCAAGACATTGAGACATTTTCCTTTATTTATGTATTGCAAAGACATCTGTACATCATGTGCTTTGCTAAGTCCCATTCTGTGACAGTCAGGCTGTAATTCATAGGTGTACTTCTTTATTTCTCATATCCCTGCCCCAAATAGCCACTTCTAAGAAAAACAAACAAACAATCCCTCACTCAAGCCTGGCTTGCGCCTACCACTGAGCATTCAGAGGCAGAACAAGACTCACGGCCAGCTTCACCGTGAGAGCCCTAATCAATGACACTGACTTCAGAAAATGAAATAAGAACTCGGTACAATCTGGCGGTGGCGTTTGTGAGAGCCTCTCTCGACTGCGAGCCTGCCTTTGACTGCACCTTCAGCGAAAACCCAAGGTACACGTGGAATACCAGCACCACCGGCGCACGGAACAGCCACCGCCAACCCATTACCTCGGGCTACCGGCTCCCGAGAAGCTTTCCAAGCGGGACGGACAAAGGCGGGGGCCGTTCCT